TGATATACAATGTACACTCCCTAAATATTGGATGAGGTACATGCACTGGAGTAATTATGTTCATTTTGGTTTATACTGAATTTAAATCCATGGCTTTAGAACATATTTGGCATTAGGCATTGTACTTTTGTTAGGTTAAAATATTTCTTCTCTTCTAAAAGCATCTCACAAGCTTGAGGGCAGGGTTGACTGTGTCTGACCTTCGCCCTATGCCCTGGACCACAGAGCTTTGAACACAAGAAGGCGCTTGGCAGATGTTTAGTAATAATTAGACTGATGCTGGGCTTCAACTTCTGAAGTGTAGACTACTAAGCATGTGGCACTGTATTTTGTATGTATACATGTTCAGACCATGTAGGGGACATGAAATATCTTTGTTTAAACATGCTTATTAATACTTGCCATTTAATATTCCTTTATTATTTATTTATTTATTTATTTATTTATTTATTTATTTATTTATTTTAACCTTCACCCAAGGATATGTTTTTATTGATTTGAAAGAGAGAAGGAGGGAAGGAGAAAGAGAGAGAAACATCAATGTGAGAAAGAAACTCATTGGTTGCCTCCCATATGCACCCAGAACAAGGATTGAACCCCCAACCTGGGTATGTGCCCTGATGGGGAATCCAATCTGTGACCTTCCAGTGTGTGGAACAGCACTCCAACCAACTGAGCAGCACCTGCCAGACTGATGTTTGCCATTTAATTAGAACAAATGTGCTTAGGGTTGCCATCTTCCTATAAACTTATGGGCAAAAGCATAAAAACAAAGACAGAAAGAAGGGGAATATGCAGTTGAAGTCAACACACTCTGCTTGAGCGCTGACTTGGTGAAAGGCTTGGGGCCAGGAGCTGGAGAACGACCAAGATAAGAAGCGGAGTCAACACTAAGCAAGGGCTTTGCCTCACTGATTCATTGGGCGCTCACAGTGCTAAGACTCATCAGGTTCTGCTGAGACCTTCACATCTGGGACAGAATTCCTCTTTTTTCTCCTCTCTTCCTTGTGCTTTCTTGCCTCACCCCTATAGTCAATGGGAGGGGGGGAGAGGAGTGGAATAGGAGGAGGAATTAAGAGAGAAAAAGAAGAGGGAAAAGGAGAGAAGCAGGAGGAGGTATAAATACGGCTTTTAAAGTTTGGCTTGATTTCAGTAGGAGGTACACTATGCAATAATAAATTTGAATTTTTATCAAAAACTGTCTTCACAGGCTTCGGAACAGGATGCCAATCTTCTTGAATGAATGCTTCGATAAATCTGTCTTGGTTTTCAAATTTATTAACAAAACTCATTTCATTTTTATCAGCATCTTAGTTTTGCTTCAGCAAACTGTGTTCCCCTTTAAGATCCAGCTGATGAGGTGCAGTGAACAGCCTGCTCAGAAGTATATTGTAGTGAGAGCAGTGCGGGGAATTCTAGCCAGATATGTGGTAAATTATTATGTGTGGTGAAAAGTGGAAGTATAATGAAATATTCTTCATAACCAGAAGATCAGAGACATATTGACCAATTTTATTTTTTTTAAATGTGTTTTTTATTGTTATTTTGTTTTGTTTTTTAAATATATTTTATTGATTTTTTTTTTTTACAGAGAAGAAGGGAGAGGGATAGAGAATTAGAAACATTGATCAGCTGCCTCCTGCACACCTTCTACTGGGGATGTGCCTGCAATCATGCCTGGGACCTTTCAGTCCGCAGACCTACACTCTAACCACTGAGCCAAACTGGCTAGGGCAGCCAATTTTAAGTTTTTAAAAAGAATTAAGCACAAGGTATCATATGAGTCCTTCCACATAATACACTGTGTCTTCTCTAGAAACCAGTTCTCCCTGGCTGTCCTCAGAAATAAAACTGCATGCTAGCTTTCGTTCCAGGACACTCAGGAGGAGGGAAGCCAGCAGAACCGGTGGACCAAACTCAAGCATCCCGTGGGGGCGGCCTCACCACAGGCCTCCCACAGGCAGGGGCTCCCAGAAGGATATTCCCCTCAGATTTCCAAGAATGCCTGGGACAGCTACTGCTCAGAGTGTCCAAGATAAAAGTCTCATTGTTTTAGCAGAAAGGAAAAGGGCAAGGGATTCTTTAGAAGATAGAGGATGTTACTTCTATTTCAGCATTTGGCAATTCCCCTCAGTGAATTAGAACTACATTTTGAAGGCCTGCTCACAGGTGCCTGACATGCAAATGTGTGCTTACAATTAGTGCTGGGTCATCTGAGGAGCTACCAAGGAAAGATCCCCTCAGCTTGCTAGCACACACATCCCCCCGACCCTGCCCTGCCCCAGAGGTCCCTGCTTCAAGCAGCGGCTGGAAGGGGTCTGTCTTAGGGAGTCGGTCTTAGGCTGGGTAAAAGACCAGATGGGAATTCCTGCTCTCAGACAGTGGCCCCAAAGTGCAGCTGAAAGAAAAACCGCTGCCTGCTTTTGGCAGGACCTTCGGGGCCCAGCGGAGTGAAAAAGGTTAGTTGCTTTCCCTTCCCTCTAATCAGGCCTGAGCTTTCCTCATAAAGCACACGCCACGTTCCCTGGTCCGTCTCATTTTGAAAGCACGAAAAAGACTTTGAACTCCTGGGGGCCTGGCATTTGAACTCCAGTCCTTTCATCTTTTCCCTCGGCACTCAGTGGAGAACATGCCGTGTTGTGCTCATTAATTCTACTGGCCAAGTAACGAGCCTGTGAAAGCCTCTGAAAGTTCAGGTCCTGCTTCAGGCTCTTGCCAGAGGCCTGGGGGAAACGGAGAGGTCTGGGAAGACAGCTCTTTGGTCATCCTTCCAGAGGGGGCCCTGGGGTCCCTGTCAGGGGAGAGGTCTTGGCACCTCTGTGGATTCTGCTGCAGCAGAGCTTGGGGATGATCCTGCAGGTACACTCTCACTGCCGTGGTCTGTAACACACACACACACACACACACACACACACACACACACACACACCCCGTGAGCCACTGTTCTCAGTCATCATTCTGGCCCTATCCTAAGCAGATTATAAAATCATACACATTTCTTACTCGGGAAATTGATAGGTTGTTAAAAAAAAAAAATGTTACTCCTTTCCTCGCCAAAAAGCCATAGGTTCAAATAAAAATTTCTCATTAACTCATGTCCTTTCTCCTACACCTACATGATTAGGTATGTTAAGGATACAAAATTCATGTAGACCTGCCTTTCATTTAGAAACTTCAAAAATGTCAAAAGCTTTTTTTGAGAAAAAAAATATTTTATATTTTTATGGGAAGATGTCGTTGAGTTTAAGAAAATCACAGTCAAGTCCTAACCGGTTGCTCAGTGGATAGAGCATCAGCCTGCGGACTGAAGGGTCCTGGGATTGATTCCGGTCAAGGGCATGTACCTTGGCTGCGGGCACATCCCCAGTAGGGTGTGTGCAGGAGGCAGCTGATTGATATTTCTCTCTCATAGATGTTTCTAGTTCTCTATCCCTCTCCCTTCCTCTCTGTAAAAAAAAAAAAAAAAAAAAAAAAAATCAATGAAACATATTAAAAAAAGAAAATCACACTAAACTTTACTCTTTCCCTTTGATAAATGAAGGTGTGCAGAACAGAAATGCCATGAGGAAAATGGTTTCCTCAAACAAGCAAATTTAAACCCAATAACCAAGCAGTCCTGAGAAATCTGCAGCATCTTACTGGGAGGCATGCAGTGACACATACATGCTAGCTTCATTTTTCAGACAAAGGCTACAGAAAAGAGTGGCATGGTGCTTTGTTTATGCCAAACTTCTGAAAGATATAAATAAGAGGGATTTGAGGCTAAAAAGAAAATGTTCTAAGGCAGTGGTCTCAAACGTTAGCATGCATCAAATTCCCTTGCAGGGCTTACATCACAGATTGCTGGGTCCCACCTCCACCTCCCTGAGAGCTTCTGATTCAGTAGCTGTTGAGCAAGGCCTGAGCATGTGCATTTCTAGTAAGTTCCTAGATGATGCTGGTGTTCCTGGACTGAGGACCACACTTCTGAGGACCACTACTCTAAGGACCCTGAGCTCCCTCTGTTAGCCCTGGACAAAGCAGCTTTCCTTGTGACCATCATTTACGCCTCTGATTCTCCTTGAAAGGCCTGGAGAAACAGGGCATAGATACCACTCTGCAACCCTGACATTATGGCCATTTTTGGGAACTTGATTTTGGCTTCTACCAACAAATTAGCAAAGGTCACCTGTTTCTGGTTACTTGAATCTTCCTTTTAAAAAGCTTGGGACAGGTGAGTGTTTATTCAGCGGTACACACGAGGAGACAGATCAAATCTGTGTCATACCTTCATTTGTCTTTTTTTGGCAACAGTGGCAACTGTGGTTCTTCCCGGGAACTTTAGACCACACTCTTCCCCTTGGACAAGCAGTCCCCCTCGGTGTTCCCTATGTGGAGTGACCATGTCCCTGGCCTACTTCTATAAGTCCAAGGGTCTACATATACACAATTCAAGGACAGAGATTTATATCAGCATCTCAGGTGAGATAGAGTATGTGAACCAGGTTCATTCTGAGCTCCTCTCCTTTTTACAGCTCAAGAGTGATGCCCCTCCCTTGGCACAAAGTGGGCCAACCCTCTGACAGCAGGTTAGGTGAACTAAAGTTCACTGGAGAGCAGTCTAATTCTCCAGCAAGCTCTTTCAGAGGCTAGAAAGCTTCCTCGGGGATTAAACAACTCGCATGTTAGGACACTGACTGAAGCTAGATTTTATCTGTAGTTCAGCCTCGGTGGTGGCCACCATGCTACGGAAAAGGATTTTTATGGGAGCAGGCAAATATCCCTGAAAAAAGTATAATGGCTCCGGACCTACTCATAAAGAAACAACTGGAACAATTTAAATTATTATATTCCTAAGAAGTGTAATGTTCTATTAATAAAAGACACAGCCACTCAGAGATGAAGGTTTAGTCTAACTCAATAAAGGTGAGTTATGTGTTCATTTCCCAATATATATGCCCCACCTGGGATTAGGAAGATCATTGAGATACCTCACGGGCTGTGGCGGTTTTCAGCATTACCTGATTCATCGACTCTCATTTTTTTGGTTGGGCTGTCACAATTCTCATCATCTGACATTTCCATCTCCTCTTCGCGGCGGATGCCCATGAGTTGCTCGCTTTGAGCATTCCGGAGCTCCTGAAAGTTAAGATTACACGAACGTCAGTCACTCTCCCAATGGTCTTTTAGTGTATTATGGCTGACACATGAGCACCTAGAACCTGCAGCTTTTCCCTTCCAAACACTGCCCCCACCTGATCTAGGAAAACCCCCTGAGGGGTACAGAAGGTGGAGGTGAAAAGACAGAATCTGGTATCAGCCTTGGAATAATTCCTGCTCACCAATGACTAGGCAAGGGCTCTTCAGCAAATTATTCAATCCCTCAAGTTTCAATTCCCACATTTGTAGAAAAGGAGGTAATAACATCCACCTAGCAGGAGGGGCTCCTAGCTAAGGGTTAGGAACAAAAGAAAGGAAACCTTAAAAAGACCTGGTCTGCTACTGACCCACTGGGTAGCTCTTGGGATATTTCTTCATCTCCCTTAGCCTCAATTTCCTCACTGAAATATTGTAATGATCATACTTTTGAGAATAAAATAAATGAATGCATGTAAGATACTTAGCCTCATGTTAAACACATGGTTCTCCAAGTTGAAAATGTAGACCTCTATTATTCTTCCTGCAGCGTGTGGCCCTGTGTACTCACATACACACACACACACACACACACACACACACACACACACACACCATTCATATATCCAAATGGTCAAATTTCAAAATATGTTGGAGGACAAAATAAAAACAGGTGTCTTCTTTTTTTGGTGTTTTACATTATCGTGTAGAGTTTATTGTTTTTGTTGCGATGGTTGTTTTAGTATCACTTTATGATCTTAGGATTATACCTTAAACTTTCCACCTATTACAGGAGTGACTGCAGCCAGGGCATTTAATTTCTCTGAGCCTTTATCAATTCACACATAAATGGAGAATAGTAATAATAAAGGCTATTTGAATGCAAACATGCATGTGAAACTTATAAGAAGGATTACAGAATATTTTTTACAACTGTATCTAAAAATCAGGACACTAATCATTTGTTAAATAATTATATTATTTGTATAAATTTCTATATCATGTGTTTGTGAATCTTTATCCATTCTGTTCTCTTATATGTGTTTCCCTTTTTTACCTCATTTAAATTGAAATCTCTAAATAAAGTCAAATAGTTAAAATAATTTCACTTTTATAATAAACCTTTAAGTAACAATAAAGCTAAACTATGACGAGATACTGATGGCATGACTTTAAGCATAGTTCTAGGGCCCATTCAATCAATGTGCACATATAAGTCTGTGTTATAGGTTGTTTCAGTTGTCTTCCCTGCTTAGCTCACAGATGTGTACCTCAGCATGACGGGAAGGGAAGTGTTTCTTGCTGACAGTATCTGCAGGGTTAACTCTGAATCCTGGGAATCACCATCACAGAGGACAGGACAGGGAGCGGGGATCAGCAGAGGCAAGGTCCCTGGGTCACATGTCAAGGCAGTCCTGAAGGCTGGCGGCCCAGGCCTCCTTGCCTGACCATGCCACGAGAAGAAAGGAGTACCAATCCTGCCTTAAACAACACCAGGATGACAGAGGCAGGTGTCACATGTGATTAGTGGGGACGTTTCTGTTGTGGACAGCCAATTTTTTCCGACAAAGAGGCCAATTCCCAAAGAGGTGGCCTGAAAATACTTAAAACAAGGAAAAGTCAGGCGGAGAGAATAAATGAGGCTGAAAGAGCCTGTTGTTTAGTCCCTACCATTAATGACAAGCTGTCATACAGGAGCTGCTCTATCGGGGAGGGTGGCAGAAAGGAAAACAATGGGAGGAAACAAAACAAGCTGAGGGTGTTTCCACAGGGTGCCTCTGGTTCAGCAGTAAATCACAAGCACATGCTAATAAATCTGCAAAGGTGTTGCAGATAATTAACAGATGCTGTACATGGGAACGTGGAAAAAAATCAAGCCAATTATCAAGCTTATGTGCAACTGAGAAATCATCCACAATGTAAAATTACCAACTGGTACTTAATCAATTAAGCGACATGTCGGAGAGAAAATCAAAGGTAATTTAGAATCCTATTTCCTAGTACACTCAAAGAGCTGGCGGGAGTGGTGGGGAGCCATACAGGCCCTTTGCAGGCAACTTCAGGATGGCACCCTTTTTGCCCCTCAGCAGGGAGCAAGGCGGGCAGGCTTCCCTGGAACAAAGCTGGAGCCTTGAGTATCCTGCTCCGCAATGGAGAGGACAGCCCTGGCCCCAGCAGGGGGAGGGGACTGAACATGGCCCGAAGTCTGAAGTAAATCAGTAGCCGATATTTGCTGACTCTCACTGCTAATGCCAGCCTTTTTATGCACAGGTTTTTTTCAGCATTATGCCCCTTGCCTTTTTCTTAATATATCTTTTAATCATGCTTGGTTTTTACACGAAGGAAAAGAATAAACAATTCATAGATTATTCCCAAATCTGAATCATAGTTCATGGATTCTGATTTGTGTCTTAATTTGTATATTTTATCATAAACTAGGGCTCTTTCCTCCAGAAAAATCAACCTTGACTAGGGTCTCGGTTCAGTGTCTAGGGGAGTAGTAGGGAAGCATCCTTTGTTTTTTCTGGCCCCTGAAAAGTTAAACAGAACCTCCCCCCCTCCTTACTCACAATCCTGAACAGAGGAACAGAACTGCATCACTCACCATCACCTTCTTAGGCATTTGTGAGCAAAAAAAAAAAAAAAAAAAGTCCTTCTTAACAATAAATTGCACTAGCACTTTAAGTGTCCCATTATTGTGAAGTCATAGGCATTCACCATAATAACACTGATAATAAAGGATTCATTTGCTATTCATGTGGATATTATATCTAGTGCCATTGGTATTCAACTGTAATTTAGCATTAGTTAATGGGCACTTAAAATGCTACCCAAATGATTGATATCACAGTATTTTGTGGTTCTTCAAACTCTATGTAAAACACTTATTTTACAAGTGGGAACCAAAATCATTAAATAAATAAACCTTACCTTCTATAAGTTTGGGATTTTGAAAGGGGAATATCATTTAGTGAACTCTGATATCAATGTGCTAGAGATGGAGAGACATCCACATGAAAAACATTCTCTCATTAAAAAAAAAAAAAAGAAAGAATAAGCAAACAAAGACAGTATACTTACTGTTAAATTACAGGTTCAAAGCGTACACTACACTGTGGAGTTAAAATTAGCAGCCGGACGACCAGTGACTAATGACACATTTTGGCCCTTTTAGGTGTCAAAGAAGGTCAAGTTCTGGACTCTTTCCTTGGGGTGAATACTCACATTCACACATGCATTGCTGCAGAGGGCAGAGGTGGCTAGCCTGGCCGCTCTCTCCCCCGAGGAAGTTTGCTCTGGGAGAGAGAGGTGTGGTTTCACCTGCTGGCCAGCACAGGGACTGAGGCATTGCTCACGATGAGAAAATGTGCGTGAGAGGCATACCTGCCACTCTAGACCAAAGAACAAACTATCCTCATCACGTACCAGAACAGCGAGGAAAAAAAACTCTGTATTTATTAAAAACTGATTTTCTGTTTTACGTTGCATTTTATTTCATAATGGTCAGGCAAAGTGGCTTGGTTTATTTCTGGGTTCGTGGCTATGAATGGAAGACTCTCTGCTCTCCCACTGCAGGGGAGAAAAGCTCTCTGTCCTCTAAGCAGGAGGTCAGCTCTTGGCTGGGCCAGGAACAAATCTGAGCTGGATTTGGGTGACAAGGAGACAGGACAATGGCAAGATGACTGCCCACTGTAACAAAAACCGTAATGACTGCAGCCACACTATGCTCTGCCAATCCAGCTGTGTGATGGTGTTTAAAAAGTAATAATAAAATCACCAACCTCAGAATGTTTTCGCCAAATGTCTATGTTCTTGCGCTGAGCTTTCGAGAAATGGTCCCAAGCTTTTTGTCTGGTAGAAGCGTTGAAAACGGCCACAATCTGCTCAACTTTGGTGAACAAGGAAGTCAAACAAGACAAGTAATTTATGTTGTGATCACTATAGGGAAGCAAAGCAAAGACACTAGGAGTCTATGGATGATGTCACAGTAGAAATAACATCATCAATATCCTTCCAATTTGTGCCTTTTGTACTTACATTTTAGCAAGGTTGGGATGTCTCCCTTCAAGTCTGTCTCCATAACTTTAGGTTAAAACAAATTCTAAATATGACTGGGGCAAGTCCAGGGGAAACTGTCTTCCATGCATTCTTGACCTTATGTACAAATGGACCTAGTATATCTACAGACTGCCTGGGCACTGGGGTTGGCATACAGACAATGTGATACCTTCGTTGGGGGCTTAGACATGAAGTTGGGGTGGAGTGGCTGAATGAGGAAGAATCAAACATATATCCTTTTCTCTTCTGGCCTCTATCTCATGGGGTCAAATGTAGCCCACTGAAGACATCACTGGGTCCAAGTTCTAAGTTGGGGCAATGAGTAGCTGTGTCACATCTCCCTTCAATCTCTGTGGGGCCATTTTTACTCCTTGGCTCCTTTTTCTTCCCCTGTTGCACCCAATGCAGCCAGCCCCCACCAGCCCTTGGGCAGGGAGAGAGACCAAGGCTCGCCCTGCCAGCAGCTCTGGCACGCAGACCTTACTCTCACACCATATGGCTCCCTCCACGGTTCATCACGGCCACATACCATTCTCTGTTATTCCACGTTTCACTTTCTTAAGGCTCCCCTCCCGCAGCTCCCCAAACCCCTTGAAGTTCGGACTCTGTCACTTAGACCTCCTTTGGAACTTCCGTGGCTTGCAGGCACAGTGCTATTGGAGCAGTAAATGCCAAGGGAGGGGTTGTGAACAAAGCCATGCAGAGAGAGGGATGGGCTCTTAATAGTGGATGCTGCAGGTGGGGCCAGGCAATTGCAGATTCAGTCTTGCTTAAACAATTATTGGTTTAGTAGGCATGGGATTAAGGGAATTATAGCACTGAATGAACCATATGATTAAATATAAACTTCTACATAGTAAGTTAGGAAAGAGATAGTTAAAATTAGCTTCTCATAGATGCTAGCACTCTATCAAACATTTTTTTTTCCTTAAGTGATTTCCAAGGCTCTATTATAAAAAAGGACATCAAAGCTCTTCCAAATCTCCCAGGTGTCCAAAGACTGTCAAAGAGCGATTGGATAATCCGCACAAAAGAACAACACCTGGTGCCACGAATTTAAAAATCAGCACACAAAATAAACAAGTGTCTGACGGAACATAGAAAGCAAGCGGATTCCGTTCACGTCCCATGCTGTAAATATCTCCTCATGCCAATAAGCAGCTACTTCCCGACCTATGGATAGTTTTCACGGGGGCTTTTATGTTTACTGTTTTCCACCTCAAGATATTCCAAATCCAAACTTCCCTCTCTATCAAACTTTATCATCATGTCACACAATGACTTTATTGCACTTAATTTTAACAGGAGGATCTGCCATCATCTTACCACACACTCTTTTTTAGTGCCAGGGGCTTCCCTCTCCTCAGCTCATCGGGAGGAAGGAGAGCTGCCAGGCTAGGCAGGCTGAGCTGCTCTGAGGGTTGCCTTTCACCTGATCACCTAAGCCCAGGGCTGGGCTGCCCTGTAGCAGTGCTGGCAGAGGAGAAGGCTGCCGCTCACTGCCCTGGCTTCCTTCTGTTTTGTCTGCATGCAGGTGGGTTTCACAGGGGACTTCAAGCTGCCTTTGCAAGGGCAGCATAGAGTAGTCAGCCCAAACCGTCATGGTAAAACCCTGTCAGATGAGATTATCTGGCAGGGATAAAGGTGGTAGTGATTGTGAGATTTATTTATTTATTTATTTATTTATTTATTTATTTATTTATTTATTTATTTTAAGATTCTGTGGTCAGAAGGGACTGTTCAGAAGCTGATGATTTTTTAAAAATAGTTTTTTATTGATTTTCAGAGAGGAAAGGAGAGGGAGAGATAGTAGAAACATCAACGATGAAAATCATTGGTCAGCTCCCTCCTGTACAAACCCCACTGGAGATCGAACTCTTGTGCCCTTGACCAGAATCGAACCAGGGACCCTTCAGTCCGCAGGCCTATGCTTTATCCACTGAGCCAAACCAGCGAGGGCTGACTGTGAAATTTTTAATGAGAACTGGTCCCTTTGCTTTTAATAGCAGAGCTCTTTGGTTGGAATCAGTTAGAAGAATAAAAACGGTGGTGTCTGAAACCAGGCCTGAGGGGAAGGCACAGTAAGGGTTGAGGCTGAAAATTTAGATCATGATGGCCAAAATTCTGCCATTGATCGGGGAAGGCTGTTAATAAAGGTGATAATACTAGACAGAAAATCGTGTTCATAAGTTTATGTGTGTGTAGAGCAGAGGGAAGCTAAGAGAGACTAGCAATGCACTTGGAGATGTACAGTAGGGAGAGGATTTAGTAGAAAGACTCAATGGCCAAAAACTGCACATGTTCAAGGTTAAAAGTAGGTCCCTGAACGTTTCCCTCAAGTCCTGTTGCAGATATTCCCTGATTCAGGGTAAGTGCCTCAGTTGCTTAGGCCATGCTATTCACATATTCTGGGCCATAAGTTTAATTAATTCATTCAGCAAACATCTAAGATCCTACTGGTTACCAGGCACTTGACTGATTGCTGGAAATATATGATTAAGACATGCTCTTGCTCTTGATGAGATTACAGAGAAATCTCTATGGGGAAAAAGCAGATAATTACCCGATGCAAGAGAGGGGTGAATGACACCTATGGGAACACAGTAACTAACTCAGTAGGTAGAGTCAGGGGACACATCCAAAGAAAGCCATATTTTTGCCAAGTCTTAAACAGTGAATCAAAACCTGTTGAGAAGCCAGGACTGCCAGTTAAAGGCACTGTGAAAGGACTTAGTGTGAACATAGGTGGCAGGGAGGGGGCTAATGCTGGCTGAAAATAAATAAGGACCATGTATGCCAAGCCAGATTGTGAACTTCATATTGTAGGCCACAGATGGCAGTTCTGAGTAGGATTTGCTTGGGAGAAATGAGGAAGGCTTGAATTAAGGTGGAGCACTGGAGTGGAGGGAGAAGTAGGGAAGTCATTTGACAGAGCAAGATGTAGGACACAGTGTGACTGACTTGCTGTGTGGGAGGTAAAGAGGGAGACCGGCACGACTCAAGCTGGGGAAGTACATCAGAGCCCCAGAGGTTGAGCACAGGTGGAGGTCTGAGAAGAACATAAAGAATTTGCTCTTGGACATGCTGAATTTGAGAGGCCTGAAGGTGATTCAGATAGCCCTGAAATACATACTGTGGGTCCAGAAAGAAGTCAGAATTCAAAGAGATACGACGTCTTAAATTGTCTGGGCATATCTTGATTTCATGTAATTATATTTTTTTCATGGGGGAATTAATTAAAAGCAAAACTAAATGTGATGAAGTTTATATTTCTTTTCTTATTAATTTTTATACTTCTCCCTCACCCATGTAACAAACAAACAAACAAACAAACAAAAAACCTCAAAGAACAAAAACTATAACTCAGCTTAGGTTTAAAAAATAGCCTCACAGTATTTCTATGGCCTGGTTACTTTTGTCTTGCCAATGACAGCTCTTGGGCACTCAAAAGGACCCAGCAAAACTGCTTAGAACAGCAGAAATTCATCATTAGAGAAAAACCACCTCAGAGCCTATACCCTAATGAATGTGACTCAAAGATGGCATATTTTAAAGACTACAATTGATGTCACAGGTAAAGACCATACACTTTTCACTATCTCTAGCAGAGAACACCAAAATTTTATGTCCATAAATTTGACTACCACTCTCTACTTCTCCAGTATAATTATTACACTCATTCTATATACAATGAAGCTAAAAGCAGTTACTAACTAAATAGGATATTTAAAACTCTACATAGAGGCCCAGAGAAGAGATAAGTAGTAGACAGTATGACATTGTGATGCAAGCAGAACAAATTCATATCTTTCTCCCCCCCACCCCCCACCTCTGCCACCAGTGCCTTTGCCACCTCTAGTGGTCTAAAGTGATGGCCCAAGGCCCACAGGAGCCTCTATCAGTTAGTACACTTAAACATTCTGGAAATATTATCAATAGAAAGAATTATCAGTCAGAAAATTTAAATTTATACTTTTAGAATCTTTCTTCCTTAATTCTGTGTTTGACGTGTGTTTTGCCCAAATTAGGTTGTTTGAGGAGCATAAAAAAATTACCCGACTTTTCAGAAATATGCTTAAATGTCAGTCATAGATGTCATAATATAGTCCCTCATATATATCCAGTAGGTATCAATGAACAGAAGGGGAGGATAAACAGAGCTGTGATGAGGTTGTTCACCCCTTTTTGCAAATCTCTTGTTATAAGATAAACTGGGGCATATAAAAAATTTAAAGAGTTTATTTGAGCAAAAATTGACTCAAATTTGGCAGTGCCAAACTGGAAGTGGTTAGGAAAGCTCCAGCAACAGGACCTGGGGAGAGACTTTTATAGAGAAAAGGCAGAAGAAAAGGAAGGAAATTCTTGGTTGGCCATAGCTTAGAGTCCTTAGGTTTCAACCTTCAGGTACCTGGCAGGCTTAGATTTCTGTTTGCTTACATAGGCCACCACAGCCTTAGAGTGACCCCAGGCTAATGGCTCCGTGTTTGATAAGGGTAACACTCTATTAGTGGTTAATTATTCACTATCTTACCTTATATGTGTGTAAGTGTGGACACATGGATACCCACCTGCACACATATAACATGCACATGTGTATAGTTTTCAAAATTTCAAAAGAATAATCTATAAGATCAAGCAGTTTAACAGCCTTTTCAGTACTTTCTCCCAATGCTTGGACATCTGCTGAGTTCGGAGCATACTCCTTACTTGAAAGAGGACTTTGTAAATGATCTTGAGAAGAAGTTGTCTTCAGTCTTTTCAGGGAAGAACAGCTTAGGGAAGGGCATCCATTGACCCAGAATCAGGACAATTTAGACAAGCTTCCTGAAC